TACTTGATACGCGTATCAATTGCACGATGTAAACTAAGCCAAAGTACACGTTAGTAAAAATTTAGTCTTTTAAACTTATTCTCTTTCTTGTAAAATAAATTTTCCATATGTAATGTTTAACGTACGTTAAACAATGTTTAATAATTTTATAGGAACAAGGTAATTCTATAAAAATTTTTGGAATCGTCAAACAAAATATAACTTCAACTTTGTAAATATTTTTAAAGCACATTTTTAGTAATTCATTTATTTCAAAAGCTGTATTTAAAAAATTAATATTTATTATAAAAATTTATTATTATTAAATTATTTAAAAAAAAAATATTATGAAAAAGACATAAAACCTGATCTGAAGTAAAGGTTCCGCGTTTTCTTTATCGTTGGAATGTTTTCGTTTTCTTGATGTCTTTTACTGTACTGAAATTTCAGTTGAAGTGCTTGGCCTGTAAAATTAAGAAAAGTAAAATTGAAGTTTGACATTCAAACAGTTAGTAATTGTAATCAAACAGCGCATTTGACTACGGAATTATTAAAAGCTTGTGGTTCCAAAACTTCTTGTTTTTCTCGTAATTCGTTTTGCCGTACTTTTGATCTCCCTGCTTTATTATCATTGCATTTTTCACTTCTGCAAATAGATCAACAAAATATTTTGTAACAAAAAAAAGTTGTATAAATGTTGTTTGCATATTAAAAGTAGATAAAAAATTTTAGTAATACGATTTATGTTACTAAATAAAGTTATTCTTACATTTTTTATTAACTCGTTATGCACATAACAAAAACAATTCGAAAATACAATCAGTCAATTTTGAATCTAAAAATATATTTTTGTAATAACAATTATATTTATATATTGTGACAATTTACTGTTTCTCTGGTTGCTTATCATGTTGATTCTGTTCACCCACATGTAGAGTTGGCAATGCGTTTGGATGTAGACGATTTTGTAGATCGTTTTTAAACATTTTTATTTCAAAATGAATAGCGCAGACACGACAATTGCCATATGCATATAATGATCCTTTTTCAAATAAATCTTCTCGATTGATATAAGTTGCCCATAATTTGAACCAACAAAATTGAAATACATTTTTCTTAAATATTCATATTCAAATAAAGTAATGATATGTAATATTCTACATATATTCAATTATTACGAACAATTTATTATCCAAGCAATATTTATTAAATCTTCAGCAAATGTTTAAGACACGTAAACAAAAATACTTACCTCTCTTCGTTCTTTGGAAATCTAAAAAAAGAAACATCCTCATTTTCACACGCGTATTTTTTGCACGATTTTACGGCGCAATAAGGTCCACTTTTTCTTGCATTATTATTAAACGACAGATCGGCACTCTCTACGTATAATTACATCAGAGAAAAATCTGAGAGCGGCCATCCTATTGTAATTTTTTACGACGGTTTCAGCCGCTGGTTTTAGCCGTATTTCCACAAAAGTGGAACTCAAAGGTCGTTCTCCATGAAACTCAAGTCGCAGGTCTCGTGGAACTGATCAATCACGTTGGTCGATTGGCTGATTTGA